AAATTGTGTGTGTGTTTGAAAAGTGTGCACTTTGAAACAACACGTACTTTAACACCAGCATGCATTTTCAAAGATGCACATTTCTGAAGATGCACACTTCGATGTTTGTTTTTAAAAGTCCATTTTTTTCCAGAAGAAGCATGCTTTAAACATTTTACATTTTCCACACTCAAAGAAGTCAAAGAAGAAACGTGCAGTTCCCCCATTTGATCAAGCAGAAGAAATAAGCTGTGAATGAGAAAGTGATTGAGATGAACCAGGCTTTGAGATGAAACTTGGAGAACTGTGGATGGATGGAGTACCCCGGACTTTCTGTCCGTCCATCTGTTTGTCCTTTCTAGTGCTGTTCTGTTCCCCAGCCACAAACTCTGGCATGATTCTGTCCACACCACAATGTCAGCACCCCCGGTCTTCCTTGTTCTGTCTTCGAGCTCCCAGCCCCTTGGGGCTTCCTCTCCTAAAAAAAATGTGCACTTTTGCAAATCTTGCAGCTTCTCTGACCCTGACATTTCTCCCTTGCATGTGGTTGCTGCTTTTTGGCTATGTGAGGAGTGGGAATCAGAGAACTGAGTTAGCTATTAGTGTGCATGATTAATAATCCACGTCTGGACTCCTCTCTGTCTTAATTGCTTTTGGCATGGAGATCCTATTCATGAAGAACACAGCAATTTCTATGACAGGTGCAATAGCTCCACACTCAGGAACTATCTTGAGTTTATTCATGTTACTCTCTCAGTAATCGATGAAGGGGGTACAACTTGAGGTTCTCCCTTAATTTAACCCCAAATAACCCACCTTCCTTTCTGATTCATCACTCTCAGCTCAGGACTATACCAAGGAACTGGCTGGGCTCTGCACAGAAAGAGAGAGCACTTGGATGCAAGCATGTTTGCTTCCCATGTTATCTCCACGATCCAGAACGTGACCAGGCTTCAAGGAGCCCAGCAGGAAAATCCTCTGTAGCCGTCTGGAATCCACTGGAATGCCCCACTGCCATATCTCTCCTACCCATGACCACTCAAATAGGGGCGCCCTCCTGGGTTGTTCTGTTTCCAGGCACATGCTGAAATGCGAATATAAAAAGATGCCCTCATTCTTCAGTGCAACAGCTAAGACGGAGCAGGGGAAGTCTGCTATTGTTCCCATTTGCAGCAAGCTGTTCGCCTCTGCTTCTGCTACTGGTTTGTAGAGTATATTGAGTAGGGAGCAAGACAACAAGAGCTCTCTCCTGCGTCTTTTCCCAGCAGAAGTAGGAAGAGCCTTGTCGGATCAGATCAAAGGCCAGAGACAACACCAGAAAAAATTAGCTTGGGGTTTTACAGAGTCCATTTTCACAGAGACCAGCATTAAAGGACTAAGCATTTCACCATTCATATCAAATTTAATTGTATCGTGGCCAAAACTGGTGTGAATTAATAAGATAATGGGAGATATTTGCGTTGAGTGACTATCTTGGACTCATTCCCAGTAAGGGATGTACAGGTACTATAAAATCAATTCTGTCTACATTTTCTGGATTGTTAGGTGCCTTTTGTTACACCATCTGCTCACTGACAGAATTGGATTTTGCAGAAATGTGTTTGTCTACACTTGCACAAATTTGCCCTTGTGCAAATCTGCAGTCTCATAAACCAACAAATCCTATTGAAATGTGCAAAGCCTCCATTGTGTATTTTCATATTTATGGGGAACTGTTTACTTTTGGTCAGTCGTTTTATGCGTGTGTGTGTGTGTGCACATGCGTGCGTTTGAGTACATTTGTGTAAAAGTTGTGAAAAAAAGAGTTTTGTAAGTCCGAAGGATCCATGTGGCCTTGCAGAAGCTGGTGAGCTGCAAAATCCATAGGATTCATAGAAATGGCAACTGATTTAAATCTGTTGCGAATGCTCCAGCATCTCTGTTCTTGGCATGTCCCCAGCTAATCCAACAGCAGCAGCAGCTGAAGAGAAGGCCCCAGAAAATCCATGAGCAGGGTGTGAAGGCAACAACTAGTACTTGCCCGTCTCCAGAATATGTATGTAGGGGTACACTGCCTCTAACAATGTGTGATTTTGCTGCCATGACAAACACTCTCTGCGTGTATTCACTCCCATCTTCCTTCTCCCTTTCTCTCACCACATGTGCATCTTTCGAAGAAGTTTCTATTAAATGTTAAACACTTTAGATGATCTTTCTGCCTTGGTGTTTTGCAGCAAAGAATGGCACTTTGTATTGGTTTTGAAATGGAGCCCAAAGCATCTTTGGGAAATAAAATATAGTGCCTCTTTCAAAACCTTGGAAACAATGACATCATAGGCAAATTGAGCCAAAAAACATTAATAGAAGTCTTTGTAGACTACAGTCCCCTGGGAAGGCTAGTTTAGCAAACTGACTTTGTTTACAAATGGATGCAGTGAGTAACCTATACAGTTCCTTTCTTCATTGGGAGCTACTGAAACGTTCCACAGTCAGCCGAGCGTTTTACTGCATCAATGAAAGGTCATCCCAATTCCCACGAGGGGCAAAGATTTGCATACAGAAATAAGATGCATTTTAAGGGACCAAAATTATTTACACTCATCTGCAAAACAGGGGGACTCCCACTAGCATTAGCAAACAGAGATGTTGCGTATGGTATGCACACAATTATATTTGCATGGAGATGTACATTGTTTAGGATACTTTATAGCCTGACATCTGGATTCAGTCCTGCCTTACTGCACCCAATTTTTGGCGAACGGGACAGAGCAGACGATATACCTGATGCTCTACTTCAGGGAGGGAGAAACAGCTGTGCAGAGTAAATCCAGCCTGCTACTCCCCATCCGTTCCTCCTGCCCAACAGGGTGTGGCTCCTTTCCCCGGCCCCAACGCCTTTCCCCAACCACCATTCACGTGGTGGTCTCCCAAGTTTTGCTCCCCCCACACTTCAAAAAGTTGGAATTAGAGCTGTACCTATGCCCCGAACCCGGTCTTATTCCAGGCAGCTGCCACCACGACTATCACTAGGGTTGGGAATCAGCCCTTTCGGGATCCATCTCTCCCATGCTTGGTTTCGCCTTGCAAATTTGGCCAATGAACAAAGCAGTGTTCCAGCAAAGAAAGAAAAGGCATAACACGGTATGGGCGGAAGAGAGATTGGATGGTATAACTCATTGGCAGGGCCTGGGTGGGTTAAGGAAAGGCACATGCGTGTGTCTAGTCCTGGGCTGGAGACCAGGGAGATCCAGGTTCTAATTCTCTGCTCAGCCAGGAGCTCACTGGGAGTCTTTCGGCCAGTCGCTCATACTCAGCCTAACCTACCCCGCAGGGGTGTTGTTGTGAGGATAAAATGGATTGGAGGACTATATAAGCCCCCTTGGGTTCTTTGTAAGAGGAAAAAAGGCACGATAGAAATGCAATGTAATAATGATTATTATAACAAGAATGCTCATGCTTTTGTATCAATTTGTGTACAATCTGGGAGAATAAAACATTTGGGAAGGTAAAGAAAATACTCTGAAAGTCCATGGAATGTGTGTAGTTTGTAAGATGCTGGTCTGCTGAGGAAGTCACAGATCAAATTCACAGAAATCCAGAGTTATTTGAATTTGATTTGTGTTCCTTTGACATCCCCGAGAAAACCCCACCGGTAATTCCTGCCACATCCAGCAACAGTCTCTTCTCTGCAGATACAAGAAGATCCACATTGAGGGTGACTGGGAGCTGGAGGTATCCGTGAGAGCTTAGAAAGGACCTTTCTGTGTCTCCTTCGAACACTGGAATCAGGCAGTCTATCCAGTATTTCCAGTCTGAGTTCATTAAGCTGGTTGTTTTTGTCAGTGTTTCGCCTTTAGCTGCTAACCATGTGAAGGAGGCGACCGTGGGGCAGGGGAGAGAGGCATTAATCTAAAGGTTAACGCAACCTGCAGGAACGATAACAGAAGTGCGTGAGTCGACATTACGGAAGATGCTGTGCATAATTTGTGTCCTGGTTCTTACTTCTGATCCTGGGTCGGGCAGCACATGCTGTTATGAATTCCCTTATCTACCCAGTCCCACCTGTTGCTTAATTATCCTCAGACTGTCTAATTACTGTAGCCTTTGGCATAATTAAAACCAAATGGAGATTTGTGTGAGTGGTTGCCAAAGGGCCAAGCAGCGCTTTGCAGCAAAGGAGGGGCTGCTCGTTGTCCACTCCAGTCCCCCGCTGACGTTCGCTCCCATCCCACCTTGCAAGGTGCCATTTCTTCACCCAGTTGTCTGCCATAGTTGTGTGGTTCTGCCGCTCAGGCTGTCCCTGACTGTGGCTGGGTCAATAATTCGTGTTATGAGAAGGGTACACATACACACACAACACAGAGAGGTTGTTTGGGGGAGCTTCTTGACCCGCACCTTACCAAGCAGGACTGGCTTCAGCAGCCATTCTTGTTGTTGTTGTTGTTGCATTCTTAGCCTGTCTTCTTTGCTTCTTATGAGGAACCCGAGGGGACTTGGCCTCCAATTAGTGCTGCTTAACTGAGGCTGGAAGCCACCCTTCCGATCCCCCATAATGCTGCTGGCGGCCCTCCGGGGCATTGCGAGGGACTGGAATGGCTGCTAGGTCCAGCAACTGGCACTGCTCAGAACTCTGCTGCCCACTGCTGTGAACACACGAGCAGCGCAATCTGTTTTGTGAGTGCTCAGGAGTAAATTCCGCCGCCTTCAGTGGGCTTTCCTGCAAGGTAAATTGAGCACTCAGTTGTGGCCTAAACAAAGGCCATCTGTTTATATTCCAGTGGTTGTGACCATGGGGAATAACTACCAGCACGGTTGAACTGTGGAGAGTTTTGACTCCCCTTGTGAGAGGAGGCCATCCTCTTTTCAGCTTTGCAACGAAAAACAGTTGCCGTTGGGGTTGCCCAGGGTGCCGGCCGCAAGAACGACTGGGATGAGACTCCGATCACTGTTCCCCAGCTGTTTGCAGCTTTTCTGTGCTTCCAAACCTCACCCTCTCCACCCTCTTTCTCTTCTTCTTTCCACACCCTCCTTTTCTCCTGCAGGAGGCTGTGAGGGTCGCTGAAGATGTCAGAGAGCCTTGATACTGCAGAGAAACCTCCAGCCCCTCCACTGAGAATGAACAGCAACAACCGCGATTCTTCTGCACTCAATCACAGCTCCAAGCCGCTTCCCATGGCTCCCGAAGAGAAGAACAAGAAGGCCCGGCTGCGCTCCATCTTCCCAGGAGGGGATAAAAGTAACGTATCAGGGATGCCAAGGGCTCTCCATTCCAGCCACTCTACAATGGCTTTCCTTGGTGTTTCCACAGCTAGCAGGGGAAATGGCTTAATGTTAAGCAATTAAATTCAGCAGCCTCTTAATGTGATCACTTGAAAGTGGCATTGTTTAAGTTTTCTCTGGGTTGCTGACTGAAACTGATAAAATATAAGGATGTGAAATGCGAGGACGATGTGATTCCAGATGTCCCTTAGCAGACTGGGCTGTGAAAAGCCACATCCGGCCTGTCTGTCCTAATTCACTTCCCCAGAAGTACATGATGCGACACTGGCCATAAATCACAGAAGGCTCGGTCAGGCCATAGTCAGTAAGGCGAAATACAGATGTTTACTTCCATATATAATTCCCATGTTAATGGAGTAGTTCAAGGCAGGCGTTATTTCTCCAGTCGCTTAAGAAGAGACTTTGCATCTGCTCCCCAAGGGCACCGACTTCCTTAGCCAGAGTTTTTGAGGGACCATAAATGAGTTACAAAGAGAAACACCAACCACATTTCTCTTAGATAATGTAACATTTTTCATTTATAGATTTGACTGTTCCTTTCAGCATCATTCAATGACCCTTTCAAAACCTATTTTTGCCACCATTCAGAGGAGAACAAAACAGAGTCTATTTTGCTATCCACTGCTCAAAATTATTCTCACTGAAAAGATATGACATCAATTGCAGGCGCTCTCTCCACTGAAAATTGAAGTGCAAACACATTATAGACTAAAGCATGTATGAGGTGGGCGGGGGGAGAGAGAGAGCGAGAGCGAGCTTGGCTCTGGGAAGAAGGACTCTGTATGTCAGGTTGGTATATGCTCCCTGTCACAAGGTCAGAAACCAACAAATAGGGCGGCCCAGGTTAACGAATTCATTAAGCTGAAGGTGAGGCGCATCCTCTGAAGCAGTTATGCCCTGTTCATTTCTACCTCTCAGTTACTCCCTCGTACAAAAGCTTAAGCTTGTGAACAGGTTACAGAAAGCATTATGAAGTTCTCGGGCCCATTCATAAATTCGCCCATTCATTCCATTTACCTGTGTGCGAAACCAGTGTTTCATCATCTGACATTGTCTTGTGCTACGATTCATCCAACTATAGGAAGTGTTCCAGTGTAGGACCCCCTTGCGAGGCACCTGCATGGAAAATTTTGCGGTAATGAACACACCTTCATGTTTACTCAGCTCTCCCCAACTTGGTGCCCTCCAGATCGCTTGGAATACAACTCCCATCCTCCCTGACCAACTCCGGGATGGTTGGCTCCCAGGAAGTGCATAGAACTGCTCTTCCATTATATGCACATGTACCTGTTGAATGTGGTGGGGTTTATGTGTGAGTAAACATGCACAGCAGGGGTGTCGACTTTCTTTCATCCTGAGAGCCAAGTTCAGTTTTAAAGAAGCATTCAGGGACTGCATTCCAGTCTTGTGAGCCTGAACACTGGATTTTTGGGGGACTTAGCACCATCCCTGTTAACTGGGCCGATATTGGCTCACAGCTCTGGGATTCAACACCCCTGATGTACCGGCAAAAGGGGTGTATAATGTGTCCAGTCAATTGATCAGCTGATCCTCAAACCAGTGAATTTTCCAGGATTGTGCAGCCAAAGTCCCAAGTTCTACCCCCCCCCCATTTTCCTGAAATGTCTTGCTTTGAATAAACCTGACAGAGAACTGCACAAATGGATGGCTTTGCAGAAAATAAGTGCTTGTGAACCTCTTCTCTCTAGCCAATAAGAAGAAAGAGAAAGAGCGTCCCGAAATCTCTCTCCCTTCAGACTTCGAACACACGATCCATGTGGGCTTTGATGCTGTCACTGGGGAATTCACAGTAAGTCACCTTTCAGACCTTTCCTTGCTTTGCTGTGGACGTGGCTCGGTCGCTTTCCTTTGCAGCTGTCAGCCCTCCATGGTGCTAGCAGTACGCAGCATGTGTGAGAGGCAGTGGAGCTCAGGTGCAGGCCTGCACGCATGCAATCTGCACATGCATAGGCCCCGGGCCGATGTGATGCTGAATGCATGACGGCCGCCAGGCATGATCCCTCCACGGCCTTCCGGTGCTCAGGGGCTTTACATCAAGCACCGTCTGCACGGGCTTTAATGAGAAGAGCTGCACTGGGGCTCCCTGCAAGAACCTGCACAGCGCACTATTCTGCCTGCAAGCAGCAGCCAACCAGGTGACAGTGGGAAGCGCACCGTGGTAGCACCTCCCCACGTGCAAGTTGTGTTTGGCCCTGCAGGAGAGGAATAGCCAAGCTTATTTGAGGTACATCAAGAGCAGGCAGACAGTCGATCTTCATAGGTGTTGGACTTCCATTCCCAGCATTCCTATCACTGGCCATGAGGCAGGGGCTTCTGGGAGCAAAAGTACCAAATATCTGGAGATCTACCTTCTTACCATCCCTGGATATGCTTTGAATCTTCTATTGCAAATCTAGCCAGCAGTCCCCCAAGGGGACTTGTATGCTGTGATCCATGAATACCGCGGGAAAAGATCTGAGGATGTTCTTTGGATAGATCTTCTAGAATGTTTTCAGATTAAACAGCTACTGTTTTTATACAGGAAGTCAACACAGGCTTATGGCCTTGCTCGATAGCTCCCATCAGCCCCAGAATGCGTGGCTCATAGTAGTGGTCAAAACCATAAGGGATGTGAGGAGCTCTTAATGGATCTCTGCAAGATGGGAGAATGTGCATCAGACTGTGAGCAAGCGTGGAGTAAACCCCCACATCGAATACAGGCTGGTGGGACCTGAGATGGCAGTGATGGGGCTAGAAAGGATCTTGGGGTACTGGTGGACCGCTTGGTATGCTCCAATCTCCTGTTTTGGACAGAATGCTCTCAAAAATCACACGTAGGGGACAGGAATGCAATTTCTTTTCCTCTCTAGGTTCCCTTTCCACCTGGAACTCTTTAACCATTGTGTACCCGATCTCTCTCACACTCAACAGAAACAATAGGAAATCCATAAATATCTTCCAGTAAAATCCATTAAAAAAAAAGAAATGGCCAATTACAGCAATGAAAAGCTAGAACCGATGATGCTGAGGGGAAGGATGGAGATGGCGATGACACCCCATGGCCTCAACTTAGAGGAAGGGTAGCAAAAACTGGCTAGCCTTCACTCCCTCCCTTGAAACTTGGCTACAATGTACCCTGGGATGTTCTTAATTTTGTGGAATATTTTTGATGTTTGCTGCCAAAGAATTTTCTGAGAAACCTAACCCATAAAAACAAAGCACTAAAATATTTAACTAGATAGGCAACCACTTATATTAATCAAAGGTTTTTCTTTTAGTGCCAATCTCGTTGCAACTCGACTTCCAGTGCTCGGAGGCTGCAGCATCCTTTTGACCTGGGTCTCAGGATAAAACCAGCAGATTGTGTGCAGCAAACATTTATTGTGCAATAAACAGAAAGGCCCAATTCAGACTTAATGATCTCAGCCCTGTAAATCACAGTTTATCAAATGAGGACGAACGCTCTGCCAACATGTATTCCTTTCCTTCCTCCATCCCTTCACCTGCCTTAAGCCCGTATTTCAAGGGTTTCTCAAACACCTTTTCCTGTTGCATCCAAAGCTCTGTCTACAATCCTGGCTTGCAGAACAAGAACCAACTAGATCTGCAACCTTATTTTGGACTCGGAGCTTAACCCGGTTTCATAGTTTGGAGCTAAGGGGACCTGTGGTTTATTTATGTCCAGAAATAGTGAATTAAGATGTATGAGAGGAGGGCAGGAAAGGGAAGAGGGCAAACGCTGGCATAAAGGCAAATGCTTCTTGTTGGTCTGATAAACAGGGTTTATTGGACTGAGGACATCACGTGTCAAGGGCAGCTGCAGGGAACATTCTCATGAGCACTATTTTTCTTTATTTTCTGTCTCTCAAGCATTTAGTTTCCTCCTCAGTTGGACAGGAGAAATGAATCAATATTTGCAAGCTGTACTAAGGGATAGTAAATTTAGACCTTACTATTACTACTACATTTATAATCTGCTTCTCTTCCAAGAACCCAAAATGGCATACAAGACTTTCCTCTCAATTTTTTCTTTACAGCAACACCCTTGCAAAGTATCTAAGGCCGAGAGTCCATGAGAGGCCCAGTGTTACTCCAGAAGCTTAATGGTTGATCAGGGACTAGAACCCAAGAGTCGAGAGGGTGGTGGAGAACCATTTACTCGTTGCTTGATCCCTTACTGCTCTGGTATCTTTGAGATGAAGAGATCAAGCAGGTCTCCAGAGAGATCCAGGACCTTTCTGGTTCTTTCCCATGTTCTGCATATCCCATGTTTCCTTCATCCAAATTATACTGGCATTATCAGATCCAGCTATAGGAGTACCTCCCATGACAAGAGAAGTAATAGATTAATTAGTGCTCATGTTCAGTCCACGGCCATGTAGCTCCCTGAAATGGAGATTTTTAAATAAGAGAAATGCCCATTCAGAAGACAGAAATTGACCTTTTAGCACACATGTCTGGAAGTCAACCAGGTCAAATTGTATAGCAATTTTCACCAATCAGGTGCCCTCCACCAGATGTGATGGGCTACCACTTTCACAATGGAAGATGGGAATGGTAGTACAATCCCTCTGGAGGGTCTCTGCTTGAGGAAGACTGTTGTATACTAAGAAGGTAACAGATTGTTTTGCGGTCATGTGGGCATTTTGCTCTCTGAAGGGCCTGATGGTCTTTGCTTCGTAATTGCAGCTGCTTCCAGAAATTAGATAATAAAGGATTGTGCCACCTTGGGCTTTTTTGAACATGAACTGTGTTTTGGATAGTTATATGGTAAGTACATAGAGCTCAGATCTGTGCTAACGCAAAGCCTTTGAACAAAAATGATTTCTGTGGGGTTCAGCAATCACATTCTCTCTCTTTCTCTCAAAAGTCTGGAAGGACCAGAAAAACACACACTAGTGCAAATATTTCTCCTACATGTCCAGGAAGAGAAATAGTTGCCATACTGGTGCACTGCCTAATTCTCACGTGCCATGCGCAACTTGCCAGTTCCTCTCGCCACCCAGTTCCAATCCCTCTGCTGGCTAAAATTGCCTGCACTGCTTTTAGCTGCATCCAAAATCACAATCTGAGAAAAATGCATGGGCACTGAGGTTTGGCTTTCAGTCATGAGCATCCAAAGGCACGAGGCTGCTTGTCATAAGCTCATGTCAAAACTTCACTCCGTTGCTGGTTGGAGCTACCACGCATAGAAGAAATTAGGACACACTGCATTAAATGAATTGATTGAAAATGACTAGCCAGACACAAATTTCTGCCCCCTTGAGATCAGTACTTGTAAAACACGACGCTCACACATTCGTCTGCAGGGAAGGGGGACTTTGGAGTTTGAACTGTTTTTGAAGAATTCTGAAATGCATGCTTTAAAACAGAATGACCCTTTCCCACCTAGAATGAAAAATGGCCGCAGCACAATCTTTTAAAGATCATAATTCAAAAAGCCAAACTAACATGTTTGACTTTATAGAAAGAGGAAGTGCACTTCAGAATCCTTATCCACATGTCGACACAAACAAGCACCAAACAAAACGAAAGCATAAAATCAGAACTGTTTGATCATTCGCCTCATGGTGTTTCCTGTTCATTGCATAATGGCTGTTTGTGATGTACAGCTTTTAATGAGGTAACTGGAAAAGTCATCGAAGGCTGTAACCCTAAACATATTTAGGAAGGCAAAGGCTCTGCTGAATTCATGGGGACTTACTTCCAAATATGCTCACCCAGGAATGCACTATAAACCATGCATCAAACCATTTCAGAACTGCCAAAATGGCTTAAACACGGTGGGGTGCATCCTACCTACCCCCAATCTTTAAACACTGTGCCTTTGATCCAGTGAATTGGCCATTTATCCTTCGCAATATGATTTTGTAGTGAGCAAAGACAACAACAACTACTCCACAACCTGGTTAAAATGTGGACACGATGCCTCTGAACTTACTTGTGATTTTCCCTCTGTCTTTCAAAGTCTGTCTTCTGGTAGCCCGTCAATTGCTACTCTGTTTGCTGTCTCCCTCTCTTCAATGGGATACCGTCCCTGCCCCACCCCTGCCCCATTTCGGCCCATTGGATTCCACCTCTTTCCCACCTTCTCAGTTGCCCCACCTTCTGTTTTAACTTTCTTTTCTTTCTTTATTTACGTCCATTGCAGCCAGATCTCTATGGCTTACAGATGTGCACAGGGAAGCTTCCAGAGGTGCGTTATGAGCCCAAAAGAAGCTTGCATCCCAAGTGCTTCTTTGACATGTTTTAGCACTGCAGCGGCAGGTTTCACGTGTGTGCAGTAGATTTCGTTGCTTGGCTTCTCCCACTTCCTCATCATTAACCCAATGCCAGAGGTCCCATGCCACACATTCTTTTATTATTTTTTCCCTTTCGTTTTCTTTGCAGAGAACCTCTTATGCAATGAAATGAAACCTGTTTTGGTTAGAATGTGGCTCTAAGCTGGGGCGGCAAACAGGTGATGCTTTGATGTCCTTTCACCAAGGCGCTGCTTAGATGCTAATTGTGCAGTCAATGACGGCGGGGGGAGGTGGTCATTCCTGGAATTTAGGGAATTATACTGGATATCCCAAGGCAGCGCCATGCAGACACCCGGCATTTCTTGGTCTGGCATACAGCATTTCTTCTCTGAGTCCGTGTTGTCTTTCTTTTCCCTTTTTTGCAAAGGACTCAGGAAAGAGGGTTCCTAGACAGCAACAGCTGCATTGTGTAACTCAGCATTTCCATCTTGGTTCCAAATTGCGGCTCCTCCTCTGAACTCCAGAGAATGTTTCCCAAAGGCCAATTAACCCATCAGGAGGCCACTTTGACTTCAAACAGATCTACTGTTATGCTTTGAGCAGAATGCATTCTCTTGTCGGGAAACAGCTATCCAGTATAAGATTCCTAAAGCACACCATGTTGTCCTCCAATTTAGAGTAGTGTTTGGATGTCTGCACTGAATCACCAGGGAAACAAGCTAAGCTTTTCCATCATCGTTCCATGGATCAGAAGTGTTGATTTAAGGATGAGCTTCATGCACCTTTTTTCCTGTCACAACCATAACTTTCTTTTCTGTTGTTGTTGTTGTTTTTAAACTTGGATCCAGGTTTTAGCTCTGTGTTTTAAGAGAAGATGAGAGAATGATTGGACCTCCCGTGAAGTGTCCAGTTTTAAACTGTCAGGCATCAAAGCGAGTCTTTGACAGTGACCTGCAGGTAGCATGGGATTCTTGATAAAGAACTTGTACTGCAGAGAATCTACTAATGCTGAGACAATGCCCCGAATCATTCTCTCCTCCACTTGCCATTCACAGGGGATTCCTGAGCAGTGGGCCAGGCTGCTACAGACCTCCAATATAACGAAATTGGAACAAAAGAAGAACCCACAAGCTGTTCTGGATGTCCTCAAATTCTATGATTCCAAAGAGACAGTAAACAACCAGAAATATATGAGCTTTACATCAGGAGGTAAGCCAGCAATGGCAGGCAAGAAGATATTGCCAGGACCAACAGGATATAGAAAGGGGTGAAGTGACACATTTGACTGAATTGGCCAAAACGGCAATCTTTGCTCGATCATTGCATGTGTGTATGAGGAATAACCCCTGTCCCTCGATGAGCATTAACACTGAGGTGAATTAGTGCAAACAGAACAACATTCTGCTTAAAAAATTAATCCGTGGCTGACAGAATGGAAGACAGCCAGCAATCTGTGAGATACAGGTTTACACAAAGGTTGTGTGGATCTTGAAAATATACTTCCCCCATTGATTAGGAGAGGGTTATGTACGCTTTTGAAAGATACGCTTTTTGCACAGACCTGTCAAATGTATGCATGCTGTACCATGTATTTCTGAGGGATGCAAGTCACCTTGCAAGGGTGGAGATGATGGCCTTCAGCTGCAGACTAGATGCAAGTCCATGGTCAGCTCATGGAGGAAGGGGAAATCACAAGGAGCTTTCTGGACAAGGGCCTGGGAAGTGGGCTGGATGGAGCCCCTCTAGGCTGTCCTGTTTGCATCACCTGACTTTGCCGTGTCTAGCAGTATCACATCTTTCTTCTTCTTCCTCCCCTAATTGCCCAGTTGACATTTAGGCTCTATCAGGGCATCATGAACATTTCTTTTGCACATTTCAGATAAGAGCGCCCATGGATACATTGCAGCCCATCCTTCGGTGAGTAAAATACCTGCCATTGGATGTAAATCAATCTCCTTCCGGAAAGCCTCCCCTTTTATGGTTTAATCCAATATATAGCCAACTAAAATAACAGCAACTCACTGGGATCCTTTGCAAGGATATTTCAAGCAGCAGAGGATATTTAACTAATGCTGAGGTAAGCCAGAAACCCCCAAGATGTACTTAAGACAATCCATGTCAACTTTGACTTCTCAAAGTAAATGTTCTTCATTTTCCATGCCAAATGAGTGAATAGGGACTCGTCCTTATTTGTTCACATTAAGTGACTTAATTTCGAATGGGCCGATCATGGCAGAAGGAAGCTGAAATATGGCATGTACTGTGTGGCCTGTGAGAGGCCCCTGTGGTTTGTTTTGCCAGTTTTCTTATTTGTTTGTTCTACCAGTTTTGAAGGGGTAGCAAAAGGGCTGTGATGAAGCAGGCCAGTGCCAAGGATCAGCAGAGTTGGACTTTTGCTGATGGCCACATCCTAGAAGGAGATCCACTGAAAATTGCTCTCTCCTTGTTTGCCTGCCTCTCACCTGAGTGAAAGGAGAGCAGGGGGTGCCACTGACGGCTTGTTCATTGTCTCTCTGCCTGGAAGACAATTGATGAGACAGGGGAGCAGTGAGAGCTGCTGCGGATGCTGGCAAAATGGGAGATTCATTGAGACGGAGGCATCTGTTGAGGGCGTCTTACCTGGGGATGGAGCCACAAAGGTGGGCCAGCAGTTTCTGGTCCTTTCCTGCTAATGCTTGGTTATGAGGTGGGGCCTGAGTGGTGGTGGAACCCCCCATAGGTGCATGAGGACACTCTACAAGCTCGGATTCTCCAAAGCAAGGTCCGGCTTTGGGTGAAGTGGGTCCTGCCTGAAGGGACCCAAGTTGAACTGGCCCACTTTCCAAAGCCGGGTGGTTCAAATCTGGTTTTCTGTTTCATGGACGCCTTGACTCATCAAAAACAAGCAGGTATTCCACCAGGACACAGCTGGCCAGCAGGTTGGCATCCGCCCACCCTCCCTAATTAGCAAAACCAGCAGCGGGTGTGGGAGTGGCGGACAGCCAAAGCAACAAGAGGACCCGGCAAGGGGCAAGGAACAAGCGAGTCGCATTGGGTTCCTTTCATAGATGCATGCTAGGCCTTCCATGTTCTGACAACTATCTCATAATTGGCTCAAGCCCTCTTTGCCTGAACTTCTCTTCCGACAGAGCACAAAGACAGCATCAGAACCCCCACTAGCCCCCCCAGTTTCAGAGGAAGAGGATGAGGACGATGAGGAAGATGACAATGACAATGAGCCACCACCTGTTATTGCCCCCCGCCCAGAACATACGAAATCAGTAAGTCTTCAGTTGTGCGGTCAGCTGCTGCCTTCTTCATAGGTCATTCTCTATGCCACAGTTTTGCAAAAGTGCTAAAAGCAAAGCAGAGAGCCTGGAATACAGCCCTGGATGCAAAGTCAACAGTTTTGAGAATCTTCATTTTTCTGATGTTTCCAGCCCTTATGGCTATTTTAGGCATGCCAAAAACATAGGCAAGGACTGATGAAATTTTTACAGCCAAGTAGCATAGCATTACTAGGGTTTGAAACTTCTATGTTACGAATTAATGCTTCCTATGGCTGGCAAGAGCAGCGTAAGAGATGCAAAAGAGGACGCTTCAGGTTGGTGTGCGCAAGAAGCATAAAAATTTGGGCAAATTACAGAATTAACCTTTTCTTAGCCCAGGTTAGCTCAGATTACATGCAGCCCATGGTATAATAAGTAGCTGGTGATTACAAGCAGCAGTGGAAAATGCGTTCTGGAACATTTGTTTGGGTTTAATACCCATTCTCAGGCTTCTAATTTGGAGGAAACGATGGCATTCAGGCAGCTTGGATCTGAGATTTATCACTTAATCCCAAACTTTTCTGCATTGTGCAAAAAGGTATGGCAGAGCTCTTGTTCAGGGGGCATAATGTGTCAATTGAAAGGCATCACAGAATTCTTGAAATCCATGCTATGCCTGGCAAGAGCTGAAATCAAACCGTTGCTGGGGGGGGGGGAATATTTGTGAAAATGCAAGTCAATTAATGTGTTTGCTCATGTGTGATTCAGTGTCTTCTTCAAGTTTGCCATGAAATCGAGCTGTCCCCCCACATGCTGATTTCTTTCAGATTTATACACGTTCTGTAATTGAACCTGTTGCTGCTCCGGCCCCTGTGAAAGAAACTACAACGCCCCAACCTGAGATCTCCAGCACAAACACCTTGTACAGGAACACAGACCGGCAACGGAAAAAATCCAAGATGACGGATGAGGAGATCCTAGAGAAATTAAGTGAGTTCATTGTCTGGCTTGCTAGCTGTGGATTCCTTGATGCAGACAAGGGAAATTAAGCACTGTATCCTCAGACCTGTGCACTTTGAGGACCCATGGATTTCAGTGGGGGACTGGCACATGAGCCCCTGTGCAACTTCAAAATGACAAAAAGCTGGAAGCCACCAAGAGAACTGTGGCTGGGGAGAAAGGGCCAGAGCCAGGAGAAATAAGTGTGACCAGTGGGGGATATATGAGGAATTTGTTCTGGGGGTGGGAATCCATCTGATTCCCTGGGTTCAGCTCCCTGGACTCCAGGGGAGGGGGGGTGGCTTGGGACCTCAGGTAGAGTTACAGGTGGATTGGAGCTCAAGGGCTTTTTAACACGAGATCCCTGGTGCCTCTGCTCAGGTTTGAGATGTAACATTTATGGCTGAGTGTTTCTAATGAGGTGTGGCAACGACAGCCTTATCCCACCGCATCTCCAAATTCTTCCTGGCTAGCTTGGCTTTTGTGGATTCACAGTTGCATCTTTGTGTCTATTTAATCATGCAATGTTCGTGTGACCCAGGTCGCTGCTTAGTCCCCTTCATGCCAAGGTGGGGACTGAAAACCTATTCGAATATCCATCAGCCCTTGTTTCCTTGGACATGTGCTAGTTAGGAAAAGAATTAAGAATTCATGAAGAATCTTTTATGTTTTCAGCTGGGGTAATCTATCCCTCTTTGTCAGCTCCCTTCTTCCATGTCTGTCGGATTGAGTTTCCTCCACCTTTGGTAACGGAGCCACACAGCTTCGTTCATCTTCATGTCCACTGAAAACAATTCTCTGAAATTTGTCCTTTCACACTTGTAAGCTTCGCAAACTTTGTGGGTCACCTCATGGACGTGGTGATGGACATGTTCTTATCACGTTGTTGGGGCTGAGGAGGGGAAACAGTCCAGGCGGCTGTTGCTATTCCTGGGCAGGTGTCAGCGTAAGAACCATGTGCTAAGTTGTTAACTAATGTTGAACAGCCTCCATGTGGACAGCAGAAGTCATTTGCGGCAGACTAACTATGGGTATAATGTTTGAACTAGAGATGGGTGGGAATCGGGCTTGACTTGGCAATATTTTATTGTATTCTGGCCCAAAGTTTTCCATGACTGAGCAGAGGGTACACCCTGAATCTCTCAGGCCCTGCTCCAATGCTTTAACCACTCTGGTCACGTAACATGGGCATCATTTTCTAGGAACAAAAAGAATTTGCTCAGATATCTTTTCGCCCAAATATGTTCTTCTAGATTTTGATGTCAAATGTTGTCTTGATACTGAACTATTCCTCTACGGGACCTGAAAGAGAGAGAATACTCATAGTATATAGAATGAAACGTTTAGTGTCTCTCTTTGATATCCCTGTTTGCTTTCAGTATTTGATTTTCAGGCAGCTGATATTTGGCACTGATAATTGGCTCTCAAACATCTGTCTGTCTTTCTTTCTTTCTTTCTTTCTTTCTTTCTTTCTTTCTTTCTTTCTTTCTTTCCCGCCAAGGAATACTTTTCACATAAACTGCACTACCTCAGAGCACCTGTGTTTCATTTCTGTAGTCTCTTCTACGGTGCACACAAAGTTCAAAGCAGTATTGGACTTGGTCATCTGCTTGATCCCCACCCCCATGCCCCTTTCTACTAAGACTGTAATAGAAGTGTGCAGCAAGTCCTCATGAAACAGACAAAGAATTATTTTGAATTTGGCATTTCTGCAACATTTCAGTGATGGAGTTGACACAGTCTTGAAATGTTCATTTGTTCCGTATTGCTGATTTTATTGTGATTTTATTTGAGTTTTTATCATTACTATGAAATGCCTAGATGCATTTATTTGATGGGATGTTTCATACATATTCAAGATACTTTTGAATAGTTCAGCCTTTTCATGCATTCTGTTCATACCTTAGTCTTTCATTTCACTGAGTAAAACCTTCACATGATTGAAGTGTTTTCTTGTTCTTAGTTATCTCTGCAAGCAACATGTGTGCATTTTTAGTGAATCTGGTCTTTCTTGGTTATTTTAGGAAGCATTGTGAGTGTTGGAGACCCAAAAAAGAAATATACACGGTTTGAAAAAATTGGCCAAGGGTAAGTACAGCCAAAGATAATACCTCTGTTTTTGCCCGTATAGCACATCCCATGTACACCTTTTCGTTTGTGTGGTGTAGTGGTTAAGAGCATGGGACTGGGACTCAGACGATCTGGGTTCTAGTCCCCGCTCAGCCATGGAGCCAGCTGGGTGACTTTGGGCCTGTCACAGACTCTCAGCCCAACCTACCTCACAGGGTTGTTGTTGTGGGGATAAGATGGGGGAGGAGATGTAAGCTGCCTTGAGCCCTTTGTAGGAAAAAGGCAGGATATAAATCAATCAATAGATTATTCTGTGTCCTAGTAGTAGTTTCTATACTAGTGCAGTTTCCACCCTCTCTGCTTAGTCATCCTCCTGCTCTTGGCATCTATTCAACTTGGCATCTATCCAGTGGAGGACTTGATTCCTCTTCAGGCCCCCCAGTGAGCAGTGGGGACTATAGGGCAGAGGCATCAGCAGAGGGAATGCAGAGGGGGTCCTGAGATCCTGACAGTCTGGCAGGCTGGCAGAAAACATTGCCACAACTTCTAACATAACGTAATCTCCCAACAAGTATATAGGATTGTGGAGATACCACTCGGGCAATGCAGCAAGTCTTTTTTCCAGAATTGTAGAAGTGGAATCCAGATGTAAACGGGTTTTCCAAATAAAATGTACAAATCGAAATGCTCTGAGCTCAGGAGCCCTTGTTCTGCATTGACAGCCATGAATAAACAAAATTCAAAAATGTGATGTAAACAAATTGGATTAATCTTCCTTATTAGTCACAGAAAGCACATTTGCATATATATTAAAATGATCCACAGCATGTCTAATGAATCACTGTATCTAACCAAGGGATTTCGTCTATGGTAGAAAAATTTTAATGCTATGACAATCATTCAGTTGCTGATTAATTTCTGTTCATGTGCAGACAACCAATCTAAATTATGCTAAGTAGGTTCAACAGATCTGGCCCTGCCGTTGGGCAGAGTGAGGACCCTACCCCAGGTAGGTGAGTAGGATGAAATAGCTCACATGGTATAAATCGTCATTTGTACAAATTTTCTTAGTTTTTTTTCTTAATGTGCAAACTGCAGCCTGCCTTAGAGGTGGAAGTCTGTGAGAAAGATCCATTCCTGCACTGACATAGGAACTGCGCTCAGCTCCACGGGTGTGGGACCAGCTGCAGATCCCACTGACCTGCAGCTCAGAAAATCTTTGCTCTCTTGAACTCTGCTTGTTCGCTCATCCTGAATTCTAGCAATTTCCAGCACAAATGCTTGTATTTTAAGCAGGTCTTTATTCTCATTCATTCTGACATTTGAAAACTCCTCATGTCTTGATTGCACCTTTTATTTTCTCTTAGGGCTTCGGGAACAGTTTACACAGCGATAGACATTGCCACGGGGCAGGAAGTAAGTGCATTGTAGTTGTTATTTTGTTTTGTAAACTCCTGGACTATTTTCTCCTGTAGTTTGCAATCTACTCATTCTGATCCCCACTGGTTGCACCAGGAGTCCTGAGCAACAAGCATCTCATGCATGGATCCGTATGATTTCCTGATGCTGCCCTAGCTGTGCTCTAGCATTAGATGGGGGCCAAATGAACTTCTCTTTGTGTTTGCATGCTGCCTCAGGCTAGCAGGGGACTGTGACTAGTGAGCTGGGTTGCTGGATTCCAGTTTGTGCCAGCCAGTTCTTCCCCTGGGTTATATCTACCAGATGTCTTGGAGTTCTGCTTCCATCAACCCTAGTCAGCATGGCCGATGTTCGGGAATGCTGGGAACTGTAACCAGCACCAAGCTGAGGAAAGCTGGGCTAGAGGAATATAGGAACTCCGTCTTGCATACCAAATCATGGGAAGGCGAACAGGGGGCAGCATCCAACAAGGCGTCTTTGCCTCTACTTATGTAATGGAGCTTGTGCATTTCTAAAAATAAACCTGGAATGGAGCAGAAATTCTCATGTCACGATCAGGATAGGCAAGCAGCATCCTCTTCTGCGAGCCTGGCTGACATGCCCCATTTGGGTTGTTTTTAGTGATGGAGACAGTCCACTGCATGAGCTTGTGAATACCTAGGCAGAGTAGGACATAGCTGCCTATGTCTAGAAATCAATGCATTTAACCAAAACAGTCCAGAGATTTCCAAGCCAATTTCCATTTCTACAGAGCCAAAATTCTTAACCACTGAAAGAATGAGTTGTAGAATGATAAGATCAGCAGGGAGGAAAAAAAAAGCTTTGCTTTGTGGTTTAAGGTCGCTGAACATCTTTATATGAGATGCAAGGGTGAGACGCCAGAATCTCTCTCTTTCTCTTTCTCTCTCGAACACACAACAATTAATTATTGTGCATGATGTAAGAAATATTGTGGCATTGCATGCAAGCTTGGTGGGTGCTAGCATGGTTGGAGAAGGCCCACTGGAACTCAAATCCTTTTGCCAAGCTAGAGTTTGATGCTGTTGATCATGACCTTGTGCAGCTGGTGTGACGCACCGTTGGTGCTTATTTGCTGGTGAAGCAGATGTTGAAACCCCATTGCTAAGCCTGTCATAATTAATGCAATAGCCACCCCTTTATGGGAGTAATGGGTGGTCTGATTGTGAAGATTCTCTATGCATTGGTCCCAAAGATACTAATGATTCTTAACACTTAGACGGAAGCTTTGATTTACAAAGTTGGCTGTAAATATTAATTAAAGAAGAATCACTGCTTAAAGACTCAGGAGTTGCATTCAGGGGACAGGGAGATCGGCTGACCTTAATAATGGAAATGAAGGGAAATTAAACTGGGGGTCAAAGGCCTATCCTTAATTATGTGTTGCTTGTGTCAGGCTATGCCAATCCCTCTACATGGTGACCGAAGTATGAACCACAGAGTGATTGGTCAAAGCAGAGAATGAGGAAAGCCTTTGAACTTGCTCCAGTTGGGCTAATGTTGAGTTGTCACCTCAATGTTCATGCCTTTATCACAATTATAGAAAAAGGTCAGGATTTTGAAGCTTGGGAAGAAAGGGAGATTAAGGTACAATCCAGGCCCATTAACGTCTATGTGAGTTTTGCTGTTGATCTCAGCAAAAAGTATGTTACAGTGTCACCATCAGCGGTGGAACATCTAAACAATCTTGACTAGTTGCCTCTGGCTTTAGGGAGAGCTGGCATCTTCGAGGAATTTAGTTCAGACACTGTCCGGCCCAACTTTTCATAGACAAAATGGGAGTAAGTCTGTCTTTCACCATTCCTACACCAATAATCGTGAATACAATGCCACAATCAGACAAACAAGTTTCCTGTGGTTAAAGCTTTCTCCACCACTGCGGCACATTGTCCCCCAGGTTTGCACAGCCTCTTTCACCCTGAGGTCCAACTTCAGGATGAGGTCCATGTTCCGTTTTGGAGAGACTTTCCTCTGCTATGTGAGGCTGAAGGCAAAAGGGGTGAGGCCAAAAGCACCAGCCTATTTTAACTGAAAGGACTTATGGGTAGTGGCTAAGCCTTAGAAGATGCATTTCTGCTTTCTGGAATGGGGAAAAAACCTGCCCAAAGCCAGGAAACCAATGAAGACTTGGGAAATGGGTGGTGCTCCAGCCAAGCATATGATCTTCAGGAGAATCTCGGTGGGCTAGATTTAGACCCTGGGGCTGAGGGCCAGCATCCCTGCTGTATTCATTAAGTTGGATGCAAAGATTTACTTCCTCCTATGGAAGAGGCCCTTCTTTCAGGGGAAGAATGCATCCATCGGAGGAAGTAGCTTTTGGATCCAGTTCTGCCTGAGAGCAAATGGGGCGCTCTCCCATTTCCAGACAGAGTCTTTCAAGGAGTGTGCACAGCAAATAGAGCATACACATGTTAGCATTTGCAAATCTGTGCATTGCATTATTGTGATTCGGTCCTGTGGGCCACAGATCTTTTGGGGGCCAGGCCTCACCCCTGGGCATTCCACAACCAGGTTCCACCACTGAAGGAACTGCATTAATTGTTTTCACATATCTGATCTGGCCTCGGGCTATTAGACCTTTTTCTTGCCAGCAATCAGGTAGTCCGGGGTTTCATTTTATGCCTATTGTTTTAAGTATGGTTCATGAAAATGTCATTTCAGGTCGCTATAAAACAAATGAATCTCCAGCAGCAACCCAAAAAGGAATTAATAATTAATGAAATCCTAGTCATGAGGGAAAATAAGAATTCCAACATTGTCAACTATTTAGATAGGTAAGTGATGTTTGTGGTTCTTTGGGAATTGTTTGCTAGCGTGTTTTAGTTTCTTCTTCTTCTTCTTCTTCTTCTTCTTCTTCTTCTTCTTCTTCTTCAGAAGGATGCATGCATCCTTCTTCAAGAAGGATGCATGCATATGTTCCTTCTTGTGTCCCCATGATCATTGTCAAGTGGGAACTGCATCTTCTGAACATTCATGAAACACTTGGATGAGAAGAGAAAGAGCCAAAGGGAGGAAAACAGAGGTTCAAGAGGAATGAGCTTGTAGGAAGTGTCCCTACTCGAATGGATGTATTTCTGTAAAGAGTATTTACAGAAATACTCTTTTTAAGTTCTCAAGATACAGTTGGCTGGCTGAAAGTTTTGAAAAAAGAAAATTAAAAGAGTGGAGGAAACTATGTGACATACAAGTCTGAGATTAGCCTTTTCAGGCTTGGTTTTGGTTTGCTAAATACCAGCTGGGATGGAGATTCTGGCCACTGGAACACTGTACGTCCATTCAGGACCAGTTGCAGTGGTGCATTCCCAGGCCCAGTTGAAAATGCTGGTCTTGACCTCCAATGCCATTGGAGCACTTGAAGGGGTGCCAAGGCTTGAATGAGCTGGCCATTTCTTGAGGTCAGCACTGGAACTGTCCATTCCATGACCATCTTTAAGACTGATTGGACTAAGCCAAGATAAGGACTGATTTCCATCATGGCCTCTACCCTCCAAAGCTCCTTTCCATGGGATGTACAGCCGAGCCCCTGCAGTCTTGGCATTCAAATAACCTTCAAAAAGTTTCAAGTGCCTTTAGGTGGCGTGCTTTTATTGACCATGCTGCTGAAAATTCTTTTTACCGGCTGAATTCTTTGCTCAAGTATTGATGTACCCTTGAATATATTTTGGAAATCTTCACATTTTTCACCAGTGTTATTTGACTGGGATGCTTACATGGTTATTCATTGCTTCTAGAGAACCTGGCCCAGAAAGGCAGTGTGGAATAAATAACACATTTGATGTTTCAGTTACCTTGTTGGTGATGAACTTTGGGTCGTTATGGAATATTTGGCTGGTGGCTCGTTGACAGATGTTGTTACGGAAACATGCATGGATGAAGGGCAGATTGCGGCTGTCTGCAGAGAGGTAAGAAGTATCACATGCTGGCATTGCAACGCTGCCCTTAAACCTGCAAACTCTTTGAATTGTTTGGCTTGTGTGCTGGTCTGGTTTAGATCCACATAAGCTAAGGATTAGACTTAGGCTGTCATGCACTGCTCCTTCCTTCTCAAGATGCCATGATTAATTAACTCTAGACTTTTTAATGCATTGTTTTTCATTGCATCTGGGCTAGAAAACCAAGGATGCCATGGTTAAAAGAAAAGGTCAGGTCTTGGATCCAGAGTTAGTTACACTTAGGGTAGACCTACCAAATTTAATGGGACTTAATTAAGTGTTACATAAGGACAAGATCACCTTAAAGATCAGTTAATACTGCTGCCATTTGCTGGATTTTTCACTGATCGAGGTATGGTCCTGAAAAAACAAAAGAACGAAGGGAGATCTAAAATGGTTCGGCTATTTATTTTTAATGAGATGAGAGTTTAAACTCGCAGCAGCTGCATTTGTACAGGATGTTACCTGGTAGTTTGTGGAAAAAATTCGGAACCACTGCTGCATGTTCCCATAGGCCCCATGAAGGATAAACTACCTAATTGGCTATCAGGGGAAAGTCAAAATCCACTGGCAGCTTTTTCCAGCAGAGGTTCACACAGGCAGATAGCAGAGGCTGTGGCTACAGGGAGTGGGCAAACAAGCCAGCTCACCTAGAGGCCCCAAAGATCGTCTCACTGCTCATTTTGCACTCAGCTTATGTTCGCAGTTTCTGCATATGGTCAAACGGTGTGAATGCTTGTGCACAAATGCGTGCACATGCATCCCAAGCTTTGCACCAAGTCTCCCTGAAGACTCACATAAATTTACCAAATAAATAAGGCTGGTTTTAAAACAAGTGTACATGTGGATATTTGCACATGCTGAATGGAGAAAGTTGTGTGAATCGAACATGAGTGCATTTGGCAGACCCGTGTGTGCATTCAGGGTTGGAAACCATGGTCATGTGGTTTGTGAGCAGGAAAAAGATCCTTGTACCTTCCTAGCAGGCATCCTCTTTAAGTAGGAAATGAGTCAGACCCATGTGGGTTGAACGGGAAGTGTCATAGAATGTGTTATAAAGTGTGCATTTCTTAGTGTTTATTAAGAAAAATCAAGCTAAGATAATACATTGAAGAGTCTGAGCTGGCTGCTTGGAACCTCCCAGGAACACTTCCTGCTTTGTGAGCTCCCAGAGGCCAACTGGGCATTAGCACTTATCCAACTGGTGCTGGGCTGGGTGGCCACCCTTGGAAGCTCCTTGTGTCCATTGCATAGAAGCCCAATGCCCAAGCACAAACTAGGTTCAGCACCATAGACAGCTCCATTCAGACATCAGACCCAGACTGAGACTGGGCAAAATGCCCCACTGACATTCCCACAATGTCCTGAGTACTTGGCCTAGCATTACTTTGGGGAATTGTGGGAAATTTAAAAAGGCGGTTTCCAGTTGCCCCACAAGGAGGGCCCAGTGCAGGAGTCAGAGCCAATAGGCTCTGTCAGTGCTGACGGGGGACTGGACGGAGGGACTAATTTGGCCACTGAGTATAATTCTGAAGAGTGGGCTTCTCCCATGTGAGAGGAGAAGGAGGCAGCAATGGGGCTAAATGCATGCTCAGGAGGCACCTTCCTCCCATTGGATAGCCCTCGGAGAGTGCTGACTCAGATTCTGATTCAGAAATGGAAGAAGAGGCTGGATTGGAGTTCACAGTGCCAGCTCAGAGATGAGACAGGTGGCTGCTGAGTACCAGGCAGTTCCCTACAGAGTCAGCCCATTGTTTGTTGTGCTCTTTTAAAATTATTATTGTTGTTGTTGTTGTTAAAATATTAGTGCCTGCAAGCTTTGGATTTCTTGCATTCAAACCAAGTGATCCACAGAGACATCAAGAGTGACAACATCCTTCTCGGGATGGATGGATCCGTCAAACTCAGTAAGTATTCCCCCGAAGTTTCTGTTGCTCCAATATTTGCAACGTGTTCTCTCTCTGGGAAGTCAAACTTTTCTCTTCTTGATAAAAACTGATGGATTTGGGCTGGAACACTACAAACTGGGTGGGCAAAGGCAAGCAGGGACCGTGTGCCCAGATCCCACCAGAGCTGTTGCCATTTGGCCCAACCCTGACCTCGCACAAAATGTGTTGCCAAAATGTGGTGGTAACAGCTACCCTGTGGTCCATCAGTTTTGTTGGCTGGGGATTATAGGAGTTTTAGTCCACTGCATCTGGGAGACACCAGGCGAGAGAAGTCTGCTGACTCTAGAACATCCTATAATGTGTTGGTAGGGTAGGGATGGATGATCCTGGGAATTTAATTTTGTTTTAACCTGAGAGAGTTCTGTAACAATTTCCATTGGGCAAGCAATGGCAGACTGTCCCAGATATGGTTGGGTTTGGTTTGGTTTTGACATGCATGAGGGGGGATAGTCAATTAACTATTTGTGTATTTGAAAAAAAAAAAAAACCTTATTGGAATTTGCAAGTATATGCATTTTGTGATTTGTCATTTGCAATTTGTGGGAATTAAGTTTACTGAAAAAAGAAATGGGTGGAGGGCTCTTTTTTACTCCTTTCTTGGCATCTTTCCCCCTCATGTTTCCAGTGTGAATTTTAACTTGGTTTGACCATTAACATATTGCCATGTTCATTAGGAATTTTATTCTTTTCTTCTTTACTGCCCATCCTCCTGGTTCTTCAGCTTGCATCTTCTGCTGGTTCTGTACAGTGACCTGATTTCTCCAGCCATCGGTCTTTGCTTTCTCCTCCTCTGCAGCTGACTTTGGCTTCTGTGCTCAGATCACTCCCGAGCAGAGTAAACGGAGCACGATGGTCGGGACGCCCTACTGGATGGCCCCTGAAGTGGTAACAAGGAAGGCGTATGGCCCCAAAGTGGACATCTGGTCTTTAGGGATCATGGCAATAGAAATGGTGGAAGGAGAACCTCCATATCTCAATGAAAATCCTCTCAGGGTAAGATTGCAGTCTTACCTGCACTTTCTATTCCGAAGCCTTTGAGTGAGGCTATCCACCGGACTCCCTGTTGGTTTTTTTTTTTTTTTTGCATTATTTTGGAAAATTGGGATTAAAATCCTTACATAAATAAGGACAGGAAGCAGAGTTCCCTTCCCAAAGTCTATGGTGCATTACTTTGCCTTTTAGGCCTTGTATTTGATAGCCACAAATGGGACGCCAGAACTCCAGAATCCTGAGAGACTCTCTGCTGTTTTCCGAGACTTTTTGAACCGCTGCCTCGAGATGGATGTCGACAGACGAGGGTCTGCAAAGGAACTCTTGCAGGTAAGGAGAAAGGATAGGAGAGGGGTTAAAACACACGTGCCCTTTGAGGAGAAGGCAGAGGTGTCTCTTTGTGTGTCTTCGACTGAAATGGCAACAGTACCTGGCTTGCATGTTCCCATTGGAGGTGCAATGCTGACTCGGGGACTTTTACAGGAACGCTGCTTCTCCTGCGCTGCCCACGCAGATTCTGTACATTTCAGGAGTCAGCAATATGAGTGAAGAGGGATGGAATACTCTCATTTCCCATCAAGGAGCATTCGGAGAAGAGCCTGGTCTGAGTTGGCCTTCGGTGGTCTGAATGTGTGAGCTGAGGGCAGGGCTGACATCGGGTGACGTGAAAGTTTGGTCTGCGGGCTTGAATCGGCAACTCTTTGCACACAGTGCTGCTTCCAAGTGAAGCTCAGAGGCTGTCAACAAGGGAAAGGACCTTCTCAGTGGCGGCCCCCAATGATGAAATGATCTCCCCACTGAGGCCAGCCCAGTCCCAGTGTTGACATCTTTTTGGCATCAGTTCGAGACTGCCTCTACTCCCAGGCATTTAAGGCCATATGATGGGACATATCAATGTTCTAAAAGGTCTAGTTGATGATTTTGCACATGACTGGGATGGTTTTAGCCGTTTTATAGTCTGAAATCTTGTATACTGACATTCTGTGCTTTGTAAATGGCTGTGAACTGCCAAGGGAACTTCAACGACTGGTTGGTATAGAAACAAAATAAATCAGTAATAACTGCAGAACCAAAAATTATTAGGAATTGTGTATTTTAACCAGCCTTCTAATTCTTCGGTATGTACATTGCTGAGAGCTATTGCTATATCAAGTAATCTGAAATGAATAGATGAATAAATCAATAGACTTTAATGGGAGCACCCCTTTTGGAAGGCGGAATAGCCTGCAAGTAGTTGCAGGTCGATCCTTTTGTTTGTCTACCACCCAGACATCGTCAGTAACCTTCTTTTTCATCCTTGTTCCTTTCAGCATCAGTTTTTAAAATTGGCCAAGCCGCTCTCCAGTCTGACTCCACTGATCATTGCAGCGAAAGAGGCAATAAAGAACAGTAGCCGCTAGTCCTTTTGAGTAGCACACACCATGCCTTCGCAGCGGGACTGAATCAAAACTCTTGTTGAACCTCAGACTTCTGCCGCAGGATGGGCGGGCAAAAGCAACATGGTCACGGTCAGCGGGGGGTGGGGGGCAGTTGTTCTCTGTCCCTCCCCCAGGAAAGAAACCTATCACGTGTCTTCTTCGACCCTCTCTCAGAATCCTTAATTTATTTCTTATGTGAACAGGAGCCTTGCTGACAGAGGTGGGGCTAGAAGCATCCTTGCCCGTTTGGCCATTTCTGGGGGCACCAGTGGGACCGGCCACGCAGATGCTCTGCCCACCTGCCGGGACAGGAGCAACAGCCAGAGTGGCTCCCTCTTACTTCTGAGTCTTTTCTGTTTGGCTTTGAACCCGGAGCCAGGCCTTCTTTCACTCCGCCTGTTGGGAAAGGATCCAAACTGTTTGTTAGCTGTTGGGCTGTTTGCTGGTCATGAGAGGAGGAGGATCGTGAGAAAGTTTGCTTTATTTAACCAAAAAATGATGATGATGATGATGATGATGATGATGATGATGATGATGATGATGCTAAACCAAGAAGCAGATCAGTCAAAGCATCCTCATTGGAGGGTTTGTGCTTTGAAATCTAGAGTTTCAATGGCATTGCGTTCCTGGGCAGCGTGATGATGATGTCATGAATATTGGTGCTTTTGTGTTGGTGAGTTTTTTCTCCTCAAAATCTAAGCAAAAATACGTTCCATGTGGTTCTCTCTGGGCTTGAACAATTTAACAGCTCTGTGTACATGGCGATAGGACCAATTCTGCCAGGTGTCCATTCCCTTCTGCAGAGTTCTGAGCATCCCTTGGCTGCTAGAACTGGAGTTCCTGGCCACTTGGCTTCTTACCCCAAGGCCGATCCATGGATTGGTGGAGTTGGGTTGTCTGCTCCCAGTTTAGGAGTCAGGACATTCCCACCCCTACTGGGCAGGAAGTCCCTTTGGTTCTGAGAGAGCAGCTTAAGGTAGTGAGCCATAATCAGCCATTGCCCACTTCCATGGTGCCGCTTCATGGATATGGCCTCATGCCTCACAAGCCTGAGAAATTTCAGCCCCATAACCATTGTGATACCATTGACTGAAGCTGCCCTTCTCCATAACAAACCAAAAAGACCTGGTTGAGTATCTAGCTGTCCCATTAAAGGGAGTTTGGGAAAGGGGTAGAAATGCTCTGGAAGCTTAAAGGAATGCCATCCGGTGGCTCTGTGTACAGCAGAGCACTGTTGTTTGTGGGATCCGGGGCCCGACCTGAGCAATGCAGCCCAGGCAGCGGGAGCCAATGAAGGAGGTGTAAGCAAAGCAAAGCAAAGCAAAGAGGGATGGCTGAACCACAAAGATCATGGGAAATGCAGCAATGTATAAAGCGATGGGGGAATTTCTCCCCTGACCTGTTGTGGACTGTGACCTGGAATGCAAAACTTTGAACTTGGAAATCTCTGAACTCCCTGTATGGCTGAAACCTAGAAATGACTGTGCATATCTGTTAAACAAGCGAAATAGCTTTGATTAAACTAATTTGTGTGGATGTTTCTTCCAACACGTGTTGGACAGATCTTGTTCTCTCTGACTCAGCAAAAATGGGCAAATTTTTAAGACTTGCTAGGGTTGCCGGCTATTTTACCAGCTGTCCGTCCCTTCCGTTGCCTTGCAGAGCAGCTCAATTGGCAGATGTTAGTGATTGATAACTTTGCTTGTGCTCTGTGTTGTGAAAAGCTTTGCCTGCACATTTCTGTGCGTCGAGCATAAAGGCACGAGAGCAGGCCTGTCTTTTTCCGGTCAGTTGAGAGACCTCGTCATTGCTGTATGTTAGAAAGAGGATCGAACAAAAAGATGGGGAAGTGGTGTGACTCAGCTGTTGGCCAGTCTTGGCCTGGCATCAGGGAATGGGGCAGGTGCCGGCAGTCCAAACGGAGCAGAGAAGAGTTGGCCACTGGCATTTCAATATGAGATGTTGATTCACCCATTTGGAGCACCATCGCCTCTAGAAATTAAATTTGCACATTGCCACCTTCAGCGTGTTGGATCTGTCTTTGGGTTCCTGAGATGTCTTTGCTGTTGTTCAGGGCAGCTCCCCATTTTGTGGGCATGCTGGAAAAATTCATTCAGATCACATTTTTAATGCAAACTTATCTACTTTTGCACTTTCAAAAGACGATGTGGACTGAAGCTCAGTTACTCCTCAAAATGCACACTTTTCCAAATGGCACAATGGAATTCTAATATTGAACAGTGCATACAAAAAGGTGTGCTAGAGAACATAGTGTTCCAGCATGCATGATATTAGCAAAACGACTTGCAAAATGTGCATATTAGTCACAATTACGTACACAAGCGTATGCCTTTGGAGAAATGTACTCTAACGTGCGTATGAATTTTCATGCAAACTTAACCTAAATTCAGAGTTTGCAAAGAATGGATGTTAAATCTGGGGAAAATTTTAATGTTCAAGAGGAACCATATATGTAATTGGAAAGATGAGGAATTGAGAGAACCTGAAACTGACAAATTACTTGGAACTGTTCTGGACGTTTGCTGGCAAATCATCCCTTCCATCTCAGTCTCACAGTGGCCTTGCAAAGGAAGCGAGCCCTGCTCTTTTACTCCCTGTTGATGTCAACATTATTACTTCCTGAGAACCATCAAGGCAATTCTGTGGAGTTTAGTTTATTGAAGTTTAGCATAGTTTGTGAATACTCTTGTTGGGCCCAGCTGTACAGTTAGGGCTCAAGGAGTCCTTATAATTTGACATATCAGCAGAACGATCAATTAACTATTGTTTTACCAGATTCTGACTAGTAAAACTGTTTTCTTTAGCACTGAGGTCTGAAAAACTCACCATCTCTATTTATTTATTTATTTATTGTATCGATATCCCACCTTTTTCTCTCTTGCAAGGAACCTAAGCTGGATCATAGCACCCCACTCCTCCTCTGACCATTTTATCCTTTATTTATTTATTGTATTTCTACCCCCACCTTTTTCCCCTTTCAATGAACTCAAGGCAGCTTTCACAACATTCCTCCTCCTCTCAATCTTGGCTTCATGACAGCAGCCACAAAGACAACCCTGTGATGTGGGTTGGGTGGGGAGTCTGCGCATGGCCCAACATCACCCAGTTAGTGCAATGGCTGTGTGGGGACTTGGCCCGGAGCTCCGGGATCCCCAGTCCAGGTGGTGCTGACACCACCCCTGCTCTGCCCTAACAGTCCACATTCTTTCCAGGCTTTCTTGTGGTAGCTTTACCTGCCCTCCCAGGGCAAGAGCGTCTGTTCCCAGGTGAGGCTTCACAGGGTTCCTGAGGGCATCGGTTTTATGAAGTTCTGTGGCAGTGGAAAATCCACCTGGGTTTTGGTGCTTCAGCAGCACCCTTGTGAGTGGCAACTGATGTCAGGAAACGTGTAGCTGGATCCTTCCTCCTAGGGTGCTCCCATGACTAGTCAAGGTCCCCTGGGAGGTGTGGCTCCTATAGGTCTTGGTGATCTCTGTTAGGATGCCAGCATCCACATAAATCACACGTTCTGTAGATCCTTCCACTATGAGCCAGGCCCAACTTCAGAGGGGACTCAGGCGTGACTCCAAACAGGCTCAGGGTTTTCAAACTGGGGAAACCTGGAGAATTTCAGCTGGTAGAATCTGTGCAATTCCATGCTCAGGGACCCCGCTTCTTTAACATCCAATAATTCAACCATGCACAGGTTTTCATTCCTCCTTTGCAGTTCAGCGTTACCCTCCATGCCCCTTTTAGTCACAATCATTGGAAATAAAATTATTTGCATGGCTTCCATGAAATGGAGTCAAGTTTGCCAAATTTAAGCTTTAAAGCTTTAAAGGGTGCCAGGTAGGCAGATTTATAGAAGAGAGGGCTATCCATGGTTCTAAGTCCTGATGGCTGGGTAGATGCAACCTCCAATGTCGGAGCAGTGTGCCTACAGACACTGGATGCTGGGAGACATGGATGGGCAGGTCCCTCGCATCCTGCAGGTGGGTTTCCTGTGTGAATGGCAAGTGGGACTAGCTGGACCTTTGGTCCGATCCACATCCTGGCTCTTCTTATGTGTTATAACTGGCAATGGCTGGTGGATGGTATAGTTTTCCCCACTGAGAAGGAGGTTCGGAAGCCAAGAATCCAAGCACGGTCTAGGAGAAATTTTACCATTTCATCTGCTGTCTGCATGCAAGAGGACACTGGTGCTCTTTGCCTCTTATTTACCACAAACGGTTTACCAAGGGTGGAATCCAGTTAGACACTCCATTAAGCTTTATAGTGCCGCTGCTAATTAGTCTGTTCTCCTGTGCATGGTACAACTTGGAAGGAAAGGGCCCTGCTTCCTATCAGTGCCCACACAGGACCCTGTGACAGGCCAATGCTAGCAGTAGAATCAGGGGAATTCTGAGAAGCACAGTCTATTTATTAAAGGGACACTAAAGGGAAAATGGGGTGGAGGGAGGAAAGAACCTCAGCAAGGTACCGGGGTTCTTGTGTATGCGTTAGCAAAAGTCTAAGGAATCTTGCATTTGGGGGGTAAGGGCTGCCTGTGTTTGTCTTATCAATCTGTTTGTGTCTGTCTCTTCTTTGCAAATATGTATATGTTTGTTTTCCATGATTGCCCAAACTCATTTATACAGATGATCTTAAGTGTTTATTTATTCCACCTATTAAATTGGGTTTCTTTGAGACAAAGGGGTGAGACCCTCCCTCTCTTCTGCTCCCATCAGTTCCCCTCCAAAGCATGACAAACAGCAGTTTCTTAAAGGGGGAGAAATATCTACTCTTACCCTTCCATCTGGAATCCATTTTCCTTGGTTTGCTTTGTTTTTTTGCCCACAAGAGGACTCAGTTCTTTATTTTTTGATGCAAAATTCTGATAAAGCATATGTAAATATTTGTAAATTGGTTGTCGTTCGCTGTTTTTGCAAATGGCTTGGTTAAACATTGGTGGGCATCACGTGGCCTCTTGATGACAAATGCAAATAAAGGCCTTGGAAGATCTTGGCTTCCTCAAAAT